GGCAGTGAGGCAGCATAAACTAACACGTCAGCAGTAGGGAGACGGCACCCAGCTCTACATCACCTTCGCTCCAGGTCCATCTCCCCACGAGTCGAGTGCCGTGGTCAGATCAGCACGCGGTTGAAGAGCAGCTGGCTGAAACTGAACCCAGGACAGTGTGAGTTGATGCTGGCGGGGAGGAAGGAGCCGGTTGAAGAACTCCCCACTTGCATGGCATTGCCCTGCGCTGAGGGCGTAAAGCTGCCCTCACAGCAAACAGCCACCGCCACACAAAATGCCCTTTCCCACCGACGGCTGTGCCTGACACAATGTGATCTGGCCACGGCCATCCCTATATTCCTGCCCCTCCAGGTTGGTTATGGTAACACTCTGCACCTCAGATTTGGACAGCTAACCTTCAAAAAGCTCCCACTGGTCCGGACAGCAGCTCACTCATTCAGCAGCAGAAGCTCCACAGAGCGCATCACCATGCGCTGCACTTTCATCGCTGGGTCACTGTAGATCTGAGTCTTCGGCCCTCATCTTCACAGCCTGCCCACGAACGGCCCAGGTTACCTGAGGGACCACCCCCACCCCCACCCCCACCCCCCTTGCCACTGTGACCTACCACAGTAGCTTTGTTCCACTTTCAGCGGGAAACTCAGAGGAGCAAAAGACAGAGCTTCCTTGGCTACTGGTGCACGACTGGGGAGCTGGTGTCTGGAGGGGACACAAAAGCCATCTCCTTCTGAATGGACGTGAAACCGACTGCAGTAACCCAGCCACCCCTCAAACCCAGATATTTAGAAACCAGCTCCCCCCCCCCAAATAAACCTTTCTACAGAAGCCGGGAGGAGAGAAGAAGCGCGGAAGAGATGACTAGACATCGTCTCGCTCTGGTGTTCACTTTAATGAACAGGTCAGGTGCTCAGAAACCACACGGATGGGTGCAGAGTGAGAACCTAGACAGGAAGAGCAGCTAACCGAGTAACATTCATCTCAGTTATTCTGCTCTGTAAAGCAGAGATTACAATGCAGAGGTCAGATAGGCGGCTACTGCCCACCAGTCCTTGAGGCTGCTGTGACACAGCACGGGAGGCAGTATGACCTCAGAAAGCCGGGGTTCTATTCCCAGCTTGGCTGCAGGTGACTTTGGACAAGTCATTTCCCAGCTCCCTTGCCTCAGTTTCCCCACCTGTAAAACAAGGACACATGATACTGGCCTTTGTCAAGTGTTTTGAGATCCCTGGATGGAAAGTGCTATATAAGACCTGTTATGTTCTTGCAACCACGAGTTACAGACACTTCGACATATGCAGCAGCCCTGTAAAATCAGAAGTAAAAATACGGGCAGTATGCCGGAGCTCACACAATCTGCACGATCCTTTCTGCACATAAGGTGATATAAAATTCCAGGGCTGTTGATTTAGCAGCTCAGACCAGTGTTACATTCTCTAAAATCTAAACGGAAAACAAACCTGTAGGAAACAGCTCCGGATTAAGGCACAAATGCTGTAAATCCATACCTGAGGAATCAGCTGCTGGAGTCATGTGATTACATCCGCACCTCAGCTTTCATTTAAAAACAAGTAGGTGTTTATCCCTTGTGTTTGCATGAGGCAAATTAATGGATGGTTCTCTCTAAGTCTACAGACAAGCTGAAACTCTGGCCCGGGGAGGGGTGACCTGCATCCCAGGCACCTCTAGGAGTGCTAACTCCCCCTCCTCTGGGGCCACCAGCAACACTATCTACCTCAGGACTCTGTCAGGAGAAGGAGAGTGCTTCAATCCCAGTGCCTGTGCAGATCCATCCCAGCTGCTGGGGTAAGTCTGGGGGGTTCCCCTGGCTGCTACCCCTGCCATTCCAGGGGAGAGGGGAGCTTGCTGCTGCTCCTGGTGGAGTTGGAGGAGAAGATGGCCCCATGCTGCTTCCCCTGCCCTCACCACTCCAAGTGGGGGAGAGGGGGCAGACTGCCAAAACGTGGCCCTGATGGGACATAACATTATACACGGATTATATGAAAAGCACTACGGGATCCTCCTTCAGGGGCCCTGCTCCTGTTACTTTCAATGGCAGCAGGATCAGGCCCTCCCCTGTAGCGGCCCCCACTCTGTAAGAACACAAACAAGCAGATACTAGAGTCCAAATAGGGAACGGATTCAAGAACAGTGCCTGGACTGGGAGGAGAGAATTGCAATTGCTTTTGACACCCTGCTGTAAAAATTCAAAGGGCAGAAGGGTGAATCTAGGCGGGGCTGGTAACAGAAGGGGCAGTGCAGATGGCTCCTATAGCAGAAGGAAGAGGAGTAGCCAGATGCAAATGGCAATGGGTGTGTGTGTGTGGGAGGGGGGGGGGCGGGACACAGTCCTCTAAGCGAAATGGTGACCTTTCACTTTCAGTGTGGATATGGTCTCTCTCTGGAGGCTTTGGCCAATCCTCCCATTTAGTAAAAATACTTCACTCAGACACTCATTTCCATCTGCAGAGCTCCAAACACTTCACAGAAGGAGGTTCGGCTCATTCTCCTGGTTTTACAGAGGGGGGTTGCAAAGAGATGAAGGAACCTGCCCTAATCACCCAGCCCTGGAATTCCAGGCTCTATCCAGGCTCTGCCTCCTTTAGATAAAAAAGCAAGAAAGCGAAAAAGATGCTGTAAAAGTGAGCAGACCCGGGAAGTTTAACAGCAAGGGTTGCCATAAACCTGCTGCAAACAAGTGCGATTGGTCTAAAAACCTGTGGAAAAGGCAAGAAATGTCTGGGGAAAGGGTTTGTATCTGTGTGTCATGCCACAGGGCAGAGTTTGTGTCATAAGGCCATGCTGCTGGGTGGAGTTTGAGAAAAAAACAGCATAGGGCATAATCCCCTTCCCCCCCTAAAAATCAGACTCCAGAGACAAGCAGAAAAAAACAACACAGGCCACAACTGCATGAAAACAGCCGCCCAACGCCACCAAGCAAGCCCAAAGTCCCCATAATAAGCTGACTTTCATCAAATCCAGTGCAATTTCTCATGTGACCTGCAACCAACGGTGTGGTTTGCAAAAAATCGTTGGCTGACCTGTTCTATACTTTCCTTGTATGGAACAGTGGTAACATTGGTTGTTGGGAATATCTTCTAGGATAGCATATCGTCCACAAGATACTGGGATTTTCAAGAGAGTCTAAAGGAGTTTGGCTCCCAGCTCCCCTTCAGTAGGGACCTGGATAGCTTTGAAAATCCCCTGAAGCGCCTCTGAAACCCTTACTGTCAGTGCACAATGCCGGGAGCCCAGCAGAGCACTCGAGACAAATCCAGCTCGGTCACCGGTAGCAAAGAGCACATGTTGACTTTAATAGAGTTGCACTTGCTTACACACCAGGCCTGAGTTTGGCCCATTCGCTCTTCATACATCTCCAACCAGAGGAGAGGATTTTAAAAACACTGCTAATTGCACCTTCATCTAAAGAATGAAGTTTGGATGTCCTGGATTAGTCTTTCAGAATGAGTATTAATGATTCAATCATTGCACTGGAGTGGAGATCCGCTTCTCTTAACAACCCCAACTCCTACCTCAGGCCATGGAGAGCTGGGAGGAGACACAGGAAGCTGTTGTTAGGCACTAATGAAAGAGCGCAAAGTTGTATTTACAGGTACTAAATAGGGTGCAACTTTATTTACAGTGTAAAGTGCATCACACAGAAGTCATTTAATACACACAACAAGCAGTGACATAAATGACAATACAGTATTTGCAAAAAGATTCTTCCTCTGAGACTATATTATTGTAAAGAGCAAAATATCATTAACTAGAACAGCCTTTGTGCCTTGCCAGCAGCTCTGCTAATGACATGGTTTTCCGGACTGGTCTTTGAGTCCTAACTGTTCATCCATGTGAACTTCCAGTGCTAGAGGCAGGCCATGCAGCTCCTCTTAAGCCGTCTCCTACCAACACAAAGTGCCTCCATACACAACACTGTTCTACTCCAAAGAGAGCATCAGGGCGAGACAGAATCAGGGCATCACAAGGAGAGAAAGGGCACACACTATACAGACACAGTAGAAAAGATACGGTTTGGTTTTTGTAAAGAGACAAGAACAATATATATATAAATGTGTGTGTATATAAAAAGATAGCTCAGTTTTCTCCATCTACCCACTCCATCTCCTGTAGTTTCTGGGCGGTGTACTGCAAACAGGTCATATGGAACAAAAGGCCTCCAGTAACACTCTGTGTGGGACAGCTAAGGCCCTTTGTTTTCAGTTTTACGTGATTTTTACTGAAAGATTCTTGGGCTTTAAAAAAGCCATTTTTCAGTTTTTACTGATTTTCACCCAAATTTTGGACTCTCAAGAAACCCAACTACATGACATTAGGTAGCTGTGTTTATGTTAATACTATGTTTGCCTAAGTGTACATGTTAGGCTGCCTGTTAAAATAAGGTAATGTAGGGAAGATACACTCGTGTGCAGATGTGTGCTTATTAAAGTACAGTTCATGAAATTAACCACAGCATTAAACTGCTTTTACTTTTCTCTATTTGTTGCTTGTTTTCTATCCCCCCATCCCTCCATATTTACCCACACAATTGTGAAGTTAATTTGTTGCACTGATTTTTATCAGTTTTTAAACATTTGTAATAAACACTGTAAATGCATATTGATAAATGGTGCTGATTCATTCCCAAGGACAGTATTTATTGAGAGCATGCGTGCAACTATTTGGTGCAAACCTCTCCAAGACCTAAGTTGCTATATGATTATTTCTTTGGGGGGAACTATAGTGTAGCATGTTATCATATTTTGATATTTCAGCAGTAATGATTAAATCAAAATTGTAAAGGAAATCCACTGTAGTGGAGTTGGGTGCCACAGTATAGTTGCCCTGTACTATCTCCGCTTGATAGGAGGAGAAGCTCCTTAACTTTTCTAATTGCTTTTGTTCAATTATAGCATGCTACAATCTGAATGGAAATCTCTATCAATTGGTTGCTGTGGTTGCAGGTTGAAGGCTGGAATTTAATTTGCATTAGAACTGAGATAGGAAAAGAAGAATCCATTTTACAAAATTCACTCCTTTTTTTCTCCAATCCACTTTTTTTTTTTAAATTGGCAGTTGCTACCATTACAGGATCCACTTGTCATTTTTCTCTGCCTCTGCACCACAATAATCAGATGTTTTCCTTTCACTGGTGCCCACAGCAGTTGCACGTACATAATTAACTCCTCTTTGTTTTTGACTACATTTCCCTGGACGCGTTCATAAGGGATACCTAACTATAAAAGGGAAGGGTGGAGAACCATAGTGTGCACACAGAATGGTTTAAGAGTAAATAAAGCTCCATGAGATAAATTATTTCCTTCCTCTTCTTTCCTAATGTTGATACTAATTTTGCTTTATTATGTGAGCATTTTGAACCTAGTGAGCAGAGTGTTTGTAGAAAGGTGTGTCAGGTAAGGTTTCTAAGCCAAATTCTTGTACAGTAACTCCTTTCATACATCAGACGTTCACTCTGTAATGCTAATACCAAACACACTCCACTCCCCAAACATTCCTTTCACCCCCTGCTTTTACTTAGCAATAGGAGAGTATCAGAGTTTTGGATCCCTAGTGAAGGGCATTTTTAGGGCACTCGGGTGCATGTTTCTTATGATGCTAATATGTTCAGCAATAGGGGTGTCTGCGCGACAGACTTTACGTATGACTTGGAATAGCTCACTCCTATGTGGATTGTGCACTTTGTAGTTCTTGGTTGGCAAGGTGTATGTGTGTGTGTGTGTGTGTGTGAGAGAGAGACTATTTTTTTGGTTCACTGATGGTTCTGCACACTACAAATATCACCTGTCAATTTCACCTGTTTCCATGGATATGGCTACCGGAGTTGTCTGGCTATTTCATTCTGAGCTACACAACATTCTCCCACCTAGTCTAAACTTGTGACTATTTCACCAGTAAATCTATGGTAAACTTAACACAAACACCCTCTCATTAAAACATTTTCAAAGAAAATTAATTCCTTATGGCAAAAATTATAGGGCTTGATTCTCCTCTTTCACCAGCCTGACACTGGTATAACTCCATTGTAGCAGAGTGCCAGGAGGTTTGAGATTGACTTCAGTCAAACTACACCTAATTCTCATAGGTGTAAGTGAGATCAGGTTCAAAGTATCATGGAATGTTTCACAGCTCAGTTTAGCCAACAGTAACTACTGTCTATCGTCTAACTGCTGAATTACAGTAAGGCTTTGGCAACTAGTACCCAGAATTGCAACATCCTGTTTACTCTTGGTTGGCAGTAAAATGTATTTTAATTAACCAGTTGTATTCAAGGAATGGCAAGGACCAAAATGTACACAAGCTATTTCCTTGCTGGACAGCAGAATTTGTACATTTGTGTGTGCGTAGCAGCATATATTTGTTATATTTTTGTATATGAAAAATACAGATGGTTTCTTTAAAAATGGAAAAGTATAGGAAAAATATATCACAAAGCAAAAACATTTTCAAGGGGGAAAAAAGCACTGGATTTGATTTACAATGAATTAGGTTTCAAGCCCCAGTGGCTATGCTGAAGAAATATTTTCTTAGTATAAAACAGTTCCTCTGCTGTTAAAAGGGATAGAATCCAGCCTTCCTTTTCCTGCATTAACAAACAAACAAAACAAGATTAGTGTTCTATAATATACAGAATGAATCAGCAGGGTGAGGCATATCAAAATGAAAGCAGAAGTGATTAGAGCCAGCAGGACCGTCCGTGGACATTGTGGTGCCCTACGCAGTGCAGGGGACTTGCCCCAGGCCTCTGTGTGTGTGTGTGTGTGGGAATCCCCAGGTGTCCGTGGGGGGTGGGGAAGGCTGTGCCCAAGGTCTGTGGGGGGCAGGGCAGGAACAGGCTTGGGGGGAAACCACTCCCCAGCACGAGCTGGCAGAGCGGAGCAGGTTGGGGCCAGGTCGCTCCACTTCCTGCCACCCGGTGATTGCAGGCTGGGTCTGACTCCGCACTCATGGGTGGCAGGAAGTGGAGTGACCCCGCCCCAGCACGCTCCGCTCTACTCCCCTGGCTCCCAGGCTTGGGGAGCAGGGGGGCCGGGGGGAACCACTCCCCAGCACTCACTAGCGGCCTGACCTCTGCTGCAGTCCCCTGGGCCATAGCTCAGGGGAAGGGGTGGAGTGGGGGCAGGACGGGGGCTGAGCTGGCCGGGAGTTAGGGCTGGCCGCTGGAGCAGCACGCAGCTGCGTAGGGCACCAGGAAATCTGGGGCAATTTGGTACCCCAAATTTCCTGGTGCGCTATGCAGCTGCGTAGTTTGAGAGCCAAGTGGCTTCAGGGAGCATAGAAAAGATTGACACCTGGCACCATATTGGAAACAATGAAGGAAATCTAGTCCTGGATCCTGATATAAACCTCCAGTCATTCAAATCTCCTCTTAAAAGTCATTTCTTCCAGCTAGCCAACCACTACTAACCTTCTTTTCAGTGTTATCTACTCTGGCTTGTACGTGTCACTGTATCCTTTTAAAACTTAAAACAAGGTCCCGATCCTGCGGTGAGCTACAGATCCTTGAATCTGAATGGAGCTCACTGCAGGGCTGAGGCCAAAGTCTGAAGCTAACAAGATATGAAACAAACAAAACAAATCTCATTATTCTGGTTTTTTAACCTCCTTTGTCCAGGGTCATCAGTTGTGTTATGTCTAATTAAGCATCAACTCTTTAAGCTGTCTGCATGCAGAACCTCCACTGGAGTTGATGGAAGTACCCTGTACTGAGGTCTGGACCCTTAGACTGTAAGCTCACTGGGCCAGGGACCTGTCTTCTTCTGGGTATATAAAGTGCTGCACATATTTATAATCTTTGGTTAATAATAAAAACAGTTCAAACTGGTGACAGGAGAACCTCAAAAGGTTCGAAGTTCTGGTTCGGCTCAGATAAACTCCAAAAGGTTTGGTTGCTAAATCAAAGCTTATCAAACCTCTTGGAATCTGCAAAAATCAAGCTGGAAATCTTATGAGAACTGGCTTTGTCATGGGAGTTCTGGCTTTTCTGTTCATGTCCTAGATGGGAATGTCACAGGAACAACCTCTCTTGAGGTTCTGAAAGACAGAACAAGAAGATGGTTCCAGTCCCAGAAAGCTTACAGTCTACGTGAAATAGGCATTAGAGCCAGCCCCATAAAACAAAAGGAGAAAATCCAAACAGTGGCCTTTGCCAAATCCAGTGCAGTGAACAAACCATAGACTGTGAGTGGTGGTCTACAATCAACTTAGGCTTGAATAGAGACTGGGAATGGCTGAGCCATTACAAACATTGAATCTATCTCCCCTTGTCAGTACTCTCACACTTCTTATCAAACTGTCTGTACTGGGCTAGCTTGATTATCACTTCAAAAGTTTTTTTTTCTCTTACTTAATTGGCCTCTCAGAGTTGGTAAGACAACTCCCACCTTTTCATGCTCTCTGTATGTGTGTATATATATCTCCTCGATATATGTTCCATTCTATGCCCGATGAAGTGGGCTGTAGCCCACGAAAGCTTATGCTCAAATAAATTTGTTAGTCTCTAAGGTGTCACAAGTACTCCTGTTCTTTTTATAAATACCTTGCAGAGGTAGAGGGCATGCTGCTTACATGCCTCAACGGACCTGCACCAAAAGATGTTCATCTGTACAGAGACTCCTTATTTAACTTTACCTTCCATTTAATTAGATCATTAGAGTCAGACACAAACCTGATGTGAAAGACTGTTTGCCAGCACTTACCTCGTGCAGTCATGTCCAGTCCATGATGAGGGGCAATGGCACCGATTTGGTCGTATACATTTCCCACCATTTAAGCAGGGAGACTGGCACACAGCTGCATTCAAATACACACATGTATACATATGTACTCCAGTAGGATTAGAATAGTTTTCATCTGGGAGATTAAGTTTTGAAAATCCATTTAGCCCTGTATGTATCATTCTGTTAGTCACAGAATGAGCCCAGTAAACCCCACCCAGCCGTACTGAACCCAATAACCTGGTTTAGATAAAAGTACTACAGCTCTCAGGAGACTTGTGTGCCACAGGCAGAGAACAGGAGGGACCAAGGTGTTCTCAAAACCATAACATTAAAAAAAAACCTCAACCCTGAAAATGTGTTTGGATATGACCATTTGCTCTGGAAAGAATAAGCTGAGAAGTGGATCTTTGTTAAGTGTGAATCAACCCTCTTTGCTATTTTTGCTAGCTGCTGTGATACGCATAGCAGCAGGAAACATTCAATGAAATATTTTATGTTGACTTTAAAACATGCGTTACTGCTCCAAGCTCAGGCAAGCAAAGTGGAATGCAAATATAAGCAGTAGGAGGAGTTAACGTAGCACATCAAAGAGATCAATAGGAAAGAAGGCCTCATTTTCAGAGATGAAACATGGATGTTTGCTCGGAAGGAGAGACACAAACAATGCCCAGAACTGCGTGCAGAAAAGCAGAAACTCAACATGGTCGCAAGGGGGGAAATATACCAGATGAAAAGGAGAACATGATGACAAAAGAGCCACTTAAAAACTAACTTCTGAGGAGGAGTAATTCTCGATAAAGTAACAGCTGAACATGGAAACAGAGGAGAAGCAGAGAATGACGACAGCTTCCTGACAGAAACTTCACAGCCATGAGGAGTGCGTAAGTGAACTACACAGGGCACTTCAAGTCGTGAAGAAACACCAAGCCCATTTGGTAGTGTCGGGACAGCATGAAGCAGCTGCAGTTACTCTGCTGTGTCAGCCAAATGGACATCAGGCAAACAGAGAGAAAAAGACAAAGCCCCAAGTCTTCCTGTCAACCCTGAGTCCATGAGACGAAGTGCGATATGATTACTAGGATAGACTAGAAGACACATTTAATGAGCTTCATAATGGAAGATGTTATAGCACAGGACAAGTTGAAAAATGTAAAGTCGCTTAAGCAGATGATACAGTCTTGGTGAGGAAAAGCAAAACATAGCGAATGAGACAGCCGCTGTTGACAATACTTAGGCACCGAGAATGCACCACTATCCAGAAACTGATTAAAAAATGGAGCCACAGAAGACAGAAAGGGGAGCACTTAGCAGGAATCGGCAAAAGCAGCTGGTGTTACACTACCCCGATCATTTAAAGGGAGGGATGGGGGGCAATACAGCACCAAAATTATGTCAGATGGTTACAGAAACGGACCATTCGCTGCACATTAAATATAATTAATTACGTCACACTGAAAACTACTTTAGATTCTTTAAAAAAAAATCCATGTAACTGTATTTAATTCTCTCTTTATTCATAGCACAGGTACAGTCAGGGCAGCAGTGGTACAAACCTCCCCACACCTGACCTCACGTCACCAATGTGCCTCAAAAAACTCCAACCTTCACAGACTGACTGAAAAGTGAGAGGCGAGTTCTGTATCTCCATAACTAATCTAATGTTGGCCTTTCTGCTGAAAATGCCAATGAGGATGCCAGTTTTGATGATGGATTTTGTGATGGGCAGACCTGTCCACTAGAAATAACATATGGGTTGCGGAACAACCATTAGGTGATAATAATTCTGGGTTATTTCCAATCTGGCATGGTTTCAAATGGCTTAGGAGAAATGCTGTGTATCCTGTCTCCAATCTCCTAGGTCATCCAGACATAACAGCAATAATTCCTATGGTGCTTTGTAAAATATCAGAGGGAACGTTACTGCATACTGTAGTACTCAAATCTCTTCAGAAAAGATTACATTTTTTTTACTCTTAGATTTGTTTAAAAATTTTACTTTCGCAACTTGATTTTCAGAAGAATGCTTAGGCCTGCGGCATATCACATGGCATCTCCCTCATATTTGCTGACCCGCTATATTTATTAATTAATGGCAAAACACTGACTCTGACTTACACCAGCGTAAATTAGAGTAATGCTACTGAAGTCAGTCCAATTAACTGGTGTAAAGAGCTATATGGGGGCAGAATCAGGCCCTATACTCAGTGCCACACTTAAGATTCCATTTAAAAACAGTTTATAAAGGGTAAATTCATGATTAATGCATCTTTTATTAAAGGGCTAGCTGGGTGTTATCAAGCCCAACAGGTTACTTATAACCTTTAGCTGATGATATTATAAACGTCTATAACACATTCTGCTCATGTCTGCAATGTGTTCATGACAGCTCTCATTTATTAAGCTTGGATAAATCATTTGTAAATAGAACCTTAATATAAAGTGTGATCAACGTGGCTATAGAAACAGGGCCTGATTCTTCTTTCACTTACACCATTAGGTAACTCCACTCAAGTCTGTAATTCTAATTCACACCAGTGGGAGGGGATCGTCAGACCCGCAATTCTTTAAAGTATTTCAAACGTAGCAGTGCAGCTCAGTGAGTCCAAGGCATAGATTCCCCCCTCCTTTCCCCCGATCTATTTGGAGGTTTAAAAATAGGGCCACTACTCTGTCCTTTGGATTGTCTAAACTAGATACTATGGCTGGGATTCTGGCTAGCCCTGCATGGGCACAAGCGAGGAGAGAAGGTGCAGGCAATGCTTCCCTCCTCTTGCACACGCGCACAGGGCAGCCAGAATGGCAGCGCAGGGC